CCAATAGTCAGAGCAGAGGAGACCCACTCCATCCACTCCACTCTGTCCAAATCAAACGTTAGTAAAGCTGAGTAACGTTGCTCATCAGTGTTTGTTATTCCATCTCCTGACTCACCACCAGGGGGCGTGTGTCAGCGTGAGATAAGACCCAAGGCTGTCTGAAGAAAAGCCATTATAAACCTCCAGGAAATTCAACTGCAGTCTTCTCTGGTTAACCAAAGAGGGCAGCACTGAGACGGTTTTAGGCAGAATATTGCAGCATTAAACACATTTACATGAAAATATCACTGAACAGAAAAATAAAGACAGAACCCTAAATAACCTGTTTGGTTTAGTTTTGGTGTTAATTTAATTTTTGGGGATTGGGAAACTTTTGTAAACTTCTTTACTCGGAGAAACGGAAACCAAACAAACAGTGAAAGGTAAAAACTCCAGAGATGAACCTTTTCCACCTGAACCAAACCGTTTTCTTCTTCTCTCCTCCTCAGGTGAAGATGGAGGACTCCCCTCCAGACCCCTGCAGCTCCTCCTCTCCTCCCTCCGTGCCCCCCTCCTCTCTCTCCCAGCCCCCACCTCTGCTGCGCCCGGCCCCGCCCTCCGCCCCCCCGAGCCTCCTCCGCCAGCCGCCGCCTCTCCAGACGCGGCCGCTCCAGAACCGAGCGCCGCACAACCACCCCCCTCCTCCGCTCATCCGGCCCGCCGTCACCTCCTCCACTTCCTCCTCCAGTCTCAGGGGTTCTCCGCCCAGCTCCTTGTCCGCTGGATGCCAGATGCCTCCGTCGCTGGTTGGCCTCAAAGTGGAGCAGCCCAACTCGTACTGATACTAGGTTCTTCGTCACATGATGGTGCTCAGGTGAACAGCTACCTCCAAACCGCGGCTACCAACCGACGGGTAGAAACACGAAACTCACCAAATTGGAAGAGAAACACGAACATCTGGAAAACAGGAGGAGTCTCCCACATCTGAGCCAAACCTGCATTTTAAGACGGGTCATGTGAAGAAATCGCTTTTATTTCTGAGCTTCACTTTAAATGTTTAGACCCTTAGTGCTGCAGTGTGTAACTTTTATTTAAAGTTTTTTATTTTACGTATTTATTGAAACTGTCACCATGTTGTGACAGTTTAAGAGGCAGATAATCTGTGAAAAGTTCGATCTCCTCCCAGTACAAGTATTACCATCTGAAATGCAACACTCCCAACCAAAAACCACCAATCAGAGTCAGGAGGCGGGTCTTAGCGCTGTCAGTCAACATCACGTTCTAATCCCAGAAAAAACAGAAAAACCATCTGAGTGCCAACGATGGTGGCCATGTTCACTTACCTTAGCTCTCATGACAGGCTATGCTAGCTGCTGCATAGCAGAGAGCAAGGGGAGAAAGTGAGGGTAGGATAAGCAGTGCCAATCACAACGTGATTGACAGCGCTAAGACCCGCCTCCTGGCTCTGATTGGTTGTTTCTAGTTAGCACTCGTAGAAGATTGGGTCTTTTGAGGCTTTTTTTTCCCCACAGATTATATTTCCTACTGTACTGATATGACATAACGACAGTTTCAACAAATATGTAAAAGTATATTCTATAAAAGTTACATATTGTAGCTTCGAAGATGAGGAAAAAATGGTACAGGAGCGTAGAGATGTTGTTGTGGATTTAGGTAGTTGAATTTGTTGCTTCCAGTTTAAGTTAAAAAGACGAGAAGAGCTGCAGCTCTTCAGTATAACTGGAGCCTAGATAGACTGTTAGTGACTGTAAGTAGCGTAGATTGTGCATACTGATGACGACTGAGCACAAAGGAGGCAATGAGACGACGAGAACTTCAATCTGCTTACCTCTGGCACCTCAGAGTTCCAATTAATCCATTAAAGTCACATTTCCCATCATTGGTTTGATTATCACTTATCAGATGACACGCAAGTGTCACTTTGAAGACAAAATAAAACCTAAGAATGTTATTTGGTTGGTTGGAACCAGAAAAGGTTTGATCTGCTACTCTTCAGTGTGGAAGTTGCTACCGTCAGAAGACGAGTCAGTGAGGCGTTTAAAATGAAGAGGCAGACACTGGACTTCAACACAGCAAGGGTTTGTTCGGGTGGGAAGAGAGAGCGAGAAGTCCAGCGGAGAACATGAAGGCAGAGGAGACTGAAGAAAAGTTTCTGCTGGAAGGTTTTGAAGCTGCACTTTTATAAGCAATGTGTTTTTCACACCTTGTTAAAACTGTCACTTTTATAATAGAATATTGTCACCTTGCTAAAATAATGACCCAACTCTTTTTTTCTGTTTTTTTTTTCTTGGTAAAAAAAAAAAATATTTTAGGAAGGAGACTATATGAGACAGATGATCTTGACAAAAGAAATAATTAAGTTCCCTGTGGTTCTACTGCCACCTGCAGGAAGACGCCGCTTCCAGTCAAAAACAACCAATCAGAGCCAGGAGAAGGGTCTTAGCGATGTCAATCAACATATGTATATGCTGCTCAAACCCTCCACCTGTCTGTTACGTCGAGTTCTAAATGCTAAAGCAAGTTAGCATGGCTACCAAATTCAAAAATGCACTTATCAATTTAAACTGTAGTAGCAGCCCATATGCAAGGATGATTGACAGCGCTAAGCCCCTCCTCCTGGTTCGGATTAGTTGTTTCTGACCTGGATCGGTGGATTTGTGCAGATTACAATGGAAGAGCTCCCATCTCTTTTTCTTTTTTCCAAGATCTCTTATATTTTACTGCAGTGACAGTTTTACCAAATATGTAAAAATATTGTTTCTAAAAGTTACAAACTGCAGCTTCACTCTTACAGAAATCTAATCACCAAGTTCTGATTGGTGCATCAGAATGACTTCCTGCCCGTTTGGTCCAGTCAGGAGAGAGGATGCGTCCTCCTGGAGGAACTTCCCACCACTTGATAACTTAAACCAGTCCATCATGAGGAAACGCTGCAGTTTCCGTTTACTTCAATATCTTCTTTAATGCTGTCGACATGTTTGCCTGATGATTCCCAACTGGAAACAGAAGCAGTCCCATCACTCGGTTTGGATCCAAACGAGGACTGCCTTTTCATTTGTTTTGGTTCCTGCTTGTTTGTACCTGATGTGAGAAGTTGTTTACACTGTGGAGAGAACAAAAATCACTTTCTGTTCAACATTTTAGAATAAAAACCAAAATGACCAAACAGTTTTAACTCCTGTCGTGTTTTAAAGAGATCGATCCTGGATGCAAAGGGAGGCAGGACAGAACAGAGGGGGGTAGCATCCAAGAACAATAGTTTTTATCAAAATCTATTCAGTCTGAAAAAGTAATTAAAATATCATTTTGTAACTTTTCCTGTGCACTAATTAAAGATTTAATCTTTTCTGTGAATCAGTGATAATAAATTCAGCTGCTTGTTCAATGACAATAACAAATTTGAAAATCTGATCAACTTTGTGCCCTTCAGCAAATTGTACATTTTCGAGTACTTTACATAAAGATGCCTACTACAAATGGGAATATTTTTCAAGAGCATTATGCGTTTGTAGGACCATCCAGTTACGCTAAATGTAATTCACAAGTCGGTTATCATTTGCTACGTTTCAATTACAAATGTGATAAAATCTTTGTCAAAATATTGTGATGATATTTTAAGTCCATATCGCCCAGAGTACAACTTGAATAGAACATGTTGCCCACCAGCCTGCCAAAAAAAAACTGGCCACTAGATGGCGCCACATGGCAAAGAACTCAAGTTTGTCACAATTTGGACCTTTTCATTTGCCTTGCCAGAGGTGTAGACAAGGTCTCATCTTCATGAAAGCTACAATAAAATATTTACACTCCATGCCTCAACCTAAAGAAATTCATTAACAAAATCTTTGACATTTGTTCTAATGGAAAGGGTTAAAAGAAAAAAAAAAAAACATTTTCAGGCAAAAGTCTGAAAATGTCAGAGTGGTGGAGTGACCGGCTTGCAGCAGCTTCTGAAGCTCAGCAGGTTTCACTTGCTGCTGTAAAGGTCGGTGTTCATGATTCAATAATAAGAAGGGGACAAAAATAACCTCAGAGACTGAAGATCAATAAAAACTAAAAATAAGGGAGAGTCTGATCTGCCCAGATCTTCTTGATGTTTGGGGAAACATTTGAGACAAAAGTGGAAGGCTTGGGTGTAAATCTGTCAGAAACAGATATCCAACATAGTGAAGCATGGTGGTGGCCATATGATGGCCTGGGCTTCTGTAATGGTTTATGTAAATCAGCAATGCTCAAAGTCTAACAATTTTTCTTGCAAAAATGATTTGGCTGCATATTATTGGGAAGTTGCGTGGGAGAAAGAACTGCAATAGAAAGCAGTACAAAACCAATAGGAATTTATTTCTGTTCATTTTGATATAAAACGTATAAAAATCCAGTTAGCTTGTGAATATGTTTTTCTTGTAACTCAACTTTCCATTGATAGTCTTTTTTTAAAATAATTTGATGGTTTTATGCAATAACCTTAATATTTTAATAAATTGTCACACTGGTTTAGGTTTGATAAATAGAACTGATCCAATTGTGATAAATCAATTTTTAAAATAATTGTTGACTAATTTAGTAATTGATTATGTCATTCTAGTACAGAAACTCAAAAAGTTGAGTGGAAGAAAAAACTGAAAGGATGTATGATGCAACAGATGCTAATTTCTGTTCACTTTGATGTATGAAAAATTCACAATAAAATTGTTTAACATAAAAACATTTTAATTCCTTGTGTAGCACTTTTCCTTCCACTCAACTTTACATCAGTATGCTTGGATACTGCTGCAGCGTCGCCACAAGATGTTTGATGTCATTTTCATGTAATTTTAATTTTGATGAATTGTAAACAGTAGTTACTAGCTTTACTTTTCTTTATTGGATTTTTCATTTACATTTCTATTTCTATCTGAAACATTTGAAGTCTTAGTTGAACAGTTTTTGCTGCGTTACCTGAGAGGATCCTCTGGTTCGCCACCTGGGGAGGCAAAGCGGCAGCAGAGCGGAGTCAGGCCGTCATTATATCATTGTTTTATTACTATCATTGTAATTTTTCATTATGTCGTCTTTGCACAAAAAAACAAAAACAAATACATTTTCTTAAGGAGCTGATCGTCCCTCCCCAGAGGAAAACAAAAGAACAAAAAGTAATCCCACCACTACAGTTACACTTTCCTCAAAACACATTTAAAATCAATGTAAATTACAGCAATGTAAAACGAAAATAATGCAAAATAAAAATCAACCCTGAAAGAGATAATATAACAGCAACTGGCTGAATAATAATAATAATAATAATAATAATTAGAATCCAACACCCAGCACCTTAATACAATGATTTTAGAGAAACTGACGTATTAAAAGCTGAAAGGAAAAGTGTTGAGTTAGGTTCGACTAACTGAGGCTTCCTCACTGATCCGAGTTTATTTCTGAAGCTAAAGCGTCAAACGCAAACCAGAGTCCGCTTGGGTCTTCTTCTTCTTAGTTTTTTTTTCTTTTTCCGAGAAACTAAACTTTCTCCATCTGCTTCAAGCCGTTCTGGACCAACGAAAGGCCTTCTTTAACAGAGTAAAAATAATAAAAATAAAAAATAAACCAGCAGTAGTCATCATCACCACCACCACCATCATTAAATAGGTCAATAATCCAGGGAGGGTCGGTGTTAATCTGTGTTAAAGGTGCAGTGCACCCGAAAAAAAACACAAAACAAAACAAAAAAAAGGCAGCAATGATATGATCCAAATTCCCCCCCTTCCCGCACAAATCTGTACAAATCCCCAATAATTTCAACGACACAAAAATATATTATCAAATCAAAAAAAAAAAAAAAAGCAGAGGAAAATAATTCACCATTTGTCGTCAATTATCTTTTTTTTTCTCTCGTTGTTTCCAGTGATCTTCTATAAACACTCATCCTCCAAAAGTAAAAACAAACAAAACGACTTCCTGTGAGTTTGCTCTTTGGGACGCTCAACAAGCGGGAGGAAGAGGAAGAGGCTGACATTCTGGAGATGAAGGCGTGAAAACAACCAACCAATCAGAGGTGAGGGGGGATTTTCCAGGGGCACAAATAAATCGCTTGAGGACAAGGAAATGAAAAACCCCCCGATTTAAATTCTTCTACGAAAGGCAACGTAAAATCCTCCCCATCTTGTTCCAGTGCACAGCTCTTACGACGGATTGTTTAGACACATACTGAGAAAAAAAATAAAATTACCAAAATAAATTCGTAATATTACGAAAATAAAGCAATCATGAAAATAAAGTTGTAATATGTGAACTGTTGAGAATAAAGTTGTAATATTACGACAATAAAGTCATAATACTACAGAAATAGTCGTAATACGACTATTTTGTGATGCATCTTTATTCTCAACTTTATTCTGACTTTATGTACGAATTATCATTATGACTATTTTTCATAATACTACGACTTAACCTTGTAATATTACGATTTTTTGTACGAGTTCTCAGAATATGGCTATTTTTGTAATGCTACGACTGTTCTTGTAATTTTACTTTTGTTTTCTTAGCATGGCCATAACACTCCGTCATTTATCATAAGCCTTTTAAAAAAAGGAAGAAAACAAACGTAAAGATGGCGGCAGCAGAGAAACCAGAACGGAGTGAGAAAGGTGAGAGTCCGGATGTGTTTGTGCCGAAGGTGGGGAGAAAACGAAGGCGGCAGGTCGGGGACAGGGGTCCGTTCGCTTGTCGGGACGAGCCGGAGCAGAACCCGAACCGAACTCACCAGCAAAATAAGGCTCAAAAGATCGCTTTGCCCACCAGAACCGCCCGACAGCAGAACCGTGCAGAAAACGAATAAATACAAGGAGGAAAAACTGGAGTGGTCCGAGTGATCAAAGTGCCTCCTAACGAAAAAACAGAGAAGAATCAAACATGCAGAAGAGTGGAACGTCTCAGCAGAAGATGGCGGCCATCTTCTCCGTCTGCAGGTCTCAGAACCGGCAGCCCTACGCTTCAGACTGTAGTCTAGACAACAATCATGTTTTTAAAGTGATCCCGCCCCCCGCCGCTGGCATCAGCCCGCCGCCGCCGCTCACAGTTTCAGCTCGTTGGCGATCTTTGAAGCAATGTTCTTGAAGGCCATGGACGTTCCCGAGATCCGCTTGAAGCGCACGCCGTTGAGGGAGAGCCGCGGCAGCTTGCACACCTCCATCTCCCACTGGACGAAGTCGTCGTGCGCCGGGTTGCCCGACATGCACAGCAGCATGTAGCGCTCGCGCAGCTCGTACTCGCAGCTGTTGGAGTCGAGCACCTTGCGGATCTCGCGCATCATCTCCGTGGGCTCCATGGACGACGTGGTCTTCATGGACCAGGTGAAGCGCAGCGAGCGCGGCTTGGCGGCGTCCTTCTGGCTGGCGTTGGCCGGAGGCGTGCCGGTGCCACCTGCAGGCGGACCAAGGAACAACAACAACGTTTCAGTTTCTTTTTTTTTGCTTTTTTTCCTTCCACAAACCATGAACGCATTTCTGCAGCGGCGTTTAGGGTCAATACTGACGAGAAAAAAGGTGTAAATTTCTGTATAATTGCTGTGACACCCACAGCCACCTAAAAAATAATTATCAAGTTTTTTTTTTTTATCATAAACATACTGAGAAAAATCACGATAAAACATTACCTCTAGCCTAATAGACAATTTTCAATGGTTTAATTCAATATTTGCTGAAACGATTAAACGAGTTGAAGATATCTAGTGACCCACCGGTGTTTCCGGAGCCGGGCGAGGAGTTGTTCTCGTCGTTGTTGGAAGAGGAGGAGAGGACGCCGCCGGAGGTTTTCTCCGACTTGTCTACAGTACTGCTCAGCACGGATCTGTGAGGAGGAAGGGAAAGACGGAGAGGAGGAGGGAGAAAAGAGAGGAAAGTTTAAGATTCAAGAGCAGAACCGTAAAAAAAAGTGAAGTCAGAACAAAGAGTAGGTGGGAAACATGGAGGAGAAGCAAAACTGATGAGGATGTCTGGATGATGGAGATAAACTTTAAAGCTCCTCCGTGTGTGTTGGTGCGCATCGTGGTGCTCTGGGGTTTTTTTTTTTTTTGACCTTTTTGTTGCACACAAACACACACTTTGGAGCCTACATGTGATTTCCCGCTCTCCCTCACTCTCCCACACACTCATGACCATGCAGCTCACCCTCCACGCCATCGCTGTCACGCTCTACCGCTAAAAATGGCCGCAGCCCCCCCCTGATTGGACACCGGAATCACCATCACCAACCAATTACAGCTCCCCTCTCCCAGGCGGTCATCTACTGATTAACAGGATCTGTGCTACAATCTGAGGGATTATTTAATCTTCGGTCGGGTCGCTCTGTGTCTCACCTGCTGCCCTCATCCCGACCCTCTCCCTCATACGAACTCCTCGGAGAAAATCAACACAAGTTTAGTTTTTTTGCCCAAGTTCAGGTTCTCATAGGTGATTACAAAATAATGATAATTGTAAAAAGAAACATTGTTTTCTTCACCATGCCGTCCTGAACACTCCAGTCCAACCGTCAACGTTTTGATTTCAACATTTATAAATTAGAGTTGCTTTGGATTATTCTGAGAAAAAAAATGTCTAAAAAAAAATCTATTTCGCACTGTTATAAATGGATTAAGTAATTTTATACCATTATTTAAATTAAACAAATGGCTAAATGAAATATTTTTACATTTGTTCCAATCAAACCCAGAAATATTAAGCAAATTTGAAAGAAAACATTTGACATTTTGGATCCTGTTCTCTACAAAACAAGTTTAAATAGTTCATGCTTCGCTTATTGTTGAGTAGGTGAAGAAATATTTTTAAAAATGTAATTTTTTTGGGTGATTTTAGATTTTAAAAATGATGTTTTTAGCTCATTATTTTCACAAAAAGTTTAGACATCAATGGTTTAGGATTTTAAGATTGAGGTTTTTAAATGCAATAATATTTTCTAATATTTTTAAACCAATGCAGGAAGTTCTGAATGCAAATAAAGCTTCTCATGAATTCACATTTCTGATCTGTGGGTTCGCAGTCAGCAATTTTTTTAAATGAGAACTAAAAAAAAAAAGCTACCTTTTGATTTTTAACAAGGCTCTTGTAGTTTTATTAAAAATAAATCGCCTAACACGAGAGCACCCGCTGCATTAAACTGTATTTCTGTCAGTTTGAGAGTTTCTTTACGTGACACTTTATTTAAAAGAGGAGGAAATTAACTTGTTTTGAGTCAGGAGCTCAGGATGTTTAATTTCTGCAAATCCAAAGTAAAATGTGTTTTCTGTCACGTTTTTAACGATATTAACTTTTTCTGTTTATAGCTCCACACATACGTTCAACTCATTTAAAACACTATAACTGAAAAGAGAATAACTGAGATCATCGAAACAAGTTGGAGCAAATGAGAGGCTCTCTGGATGAGGATGGAGCAACCAGGGCGGCATGATGAGGGGGCGACGTTAGGAGCACGAATGACCCCAGAACTGGAGGTTAAACCAACCTGTTAGTAACACATTGGACCTACACACACACACACACACACACACACACCGTCCACGCTCACAGCAGCAGATGGGACAGAAAACACGGAGGACAAACTGAACGGAGAGACAGAGACGAGGACGATGGGAGAGACGCATCCAACAGTTTGACGTCTGAAACCGGTTCCTGGTAGCTTAGTAACAGGAAATATAATACTTCATATTTTAAACAAAACCATCAACATTTATTGCAGATGGGACAGAAAAGACATGTTGAAAGCTTTAAAATAAATTCAGCTTTAACTGCAGCAGAACCTGAGAAACAAATATTTATTCAGTAGAGAAAGGATTAACTAATAGGATTTGTTGCTGTAAATGTTCTGCTAAGGATCTATTTAATTTGCGTTAAAAAATTAAATCAGAAACATTTGGGACAAATTTGACTTTCTGCTCTGTTGTCTTGTTTTTAATGTCTGGAGACAAAGGTGGCTGAGATGAGCAGGTTTCCATTTCAAATGTCCTGCTGTTTGACCTCGGTTCAATCTTTGTCTCGCTTCCCAGTTGGAGTAGAAACGTTTTGTTTTGTTGCGTCAAAATATACCGTATGAAACCAAGACTGCGTTCTTGATGCTCAATTCTAAAGTTTTGCTGAAATCTGATTTTTTTTTTCTAAATTGATTGTTCATGTTACAAATTAAATGCGACCACAATCAGACTTCTGTGAACGGTTTACGACCCCAGAAGAAGAACATAAACGTCACACAGCAGCTGTTTGAGGAGCATAATGGAAACACTTATGGATTATTAATTGACTTTAAAGTTTATTTAGCACTGGGAGATGACGGTGTCGTCACAAGAAGAAAGGAGGTTAAAAAAAAGAAAGTACGACCAGAAGCGACTGCGTTTCATCTCCAACCTGATTGGATGTGCAGTCCAAGCTAAGAGTGACGTGATGCGTGACGTTTTTCATAATTTCAAACTTACAATCTTAGCTAATTCGTCTGGGTTCAGTATTATGACGCACGTCTCAGGTTTTTCACTCCACAGTGGGATAAAATGCGACTGCAGACTCTGAAAACAATCGTGCATGTATCTTAATAGGTGTCATGTTTGGAAGTGGTAAAAAAAAAAAAATCTAACTTTTTGTGGAGAAAAGATTAAAATTCTCAAAATTCAGATTGTTATGAAAAGGTTTTCCTGCAGTGAACGCAGCTTTAACCATCTACGACGAATCTGATTCAAATATTGTTGATTGAATTTATAGAAACGCAGATGAGCTTAAAAGTAATTAAAAGTATACAGTTAGAGTAAATGCATGTGCAAAGTCAAAGTTTATAAAAGCTGCATTTATTTTAAGGCTTTTCAACATCCTAACTGAAAACCAATATATGTATCCGACTCTAAAGACATGTTTTAAATGAAAGTATGGGAGTCAAAGCTGTAAAATAATTATTTTTAAATCTACTTAAAAACACCTTAAAGTTGTTCTCCCAGCAACAGAATAAACATCTTTACTGAAATAATCTCATGTTAACACAGAGACAACATGTAATACAAGCTCTGACCAGCAGGTGGAGCAGTGTCCCGCACAAAGCGTTAGCATTGCTCTACCTGCTGGCTGAAACGAACCAGTGCAAGGGGTAAACTTCTCTCGACATGCTTTTTGCATTTCCAGTGAACACAAACATGTGGAAAGGTGTGAGTGAGTCGATCCACATGTTTAAATGATAAAGAGTTTTGGTTTTTCCAGCCACAGTTGCTCAAAGCCATCCAGGTCTGTCGCTGCTGCTGTTGATGTTAGAGAGCCAATGCCAGGAGTGAGTGAGAACAGAGATGAATGTTACGGGAGGAAAAGCCTGAAGGCGCTGCGGACCCGTCCCTCCTGGGTCCTCTCCTCTGCCAAACCGACCAGAGCTGAACGCAAGCCAGGAGGACGACCCGGCGTCGCTATCTGAGCTGATTACGGCACAGGGATGTGATGGGTGATGGTTTAAGGAGTTAGCTTGGATTAAAGGAGCATCAATAAATGCTGCGGGGAAAGGCCACAGTACTATCTACTATCATAAAGTGCTGAGGGAAAAAAACAAACCGTTTGATCCTCAGAGAGATTGCTTTTTTTTTGGTCACAATTTTTCAGATCATTCAACAAATTCTAACAAAGATGAAATGAGTAAACATAAAAAGGGAAAAAACAAAGCGACAAAGTAATTAACCCTAAACCTTAGGTGAATTCACGCCGGCCCTGATAAGAGAATAATTAAACTTTAATTAAACTTTAGCTTCTTTGCCTAGAAAGTCCGGTTCGTGAACCTGCCACTGGACTCTGATGCGAACCAGTGAACTCGGGTCTGGGATTGCTTGAAGTGAACTCTGCCCCAGTTTGAATGCTTATGTGAAACACTGACCCTTTGCAATATTGGACAGACGTCAAAACAATCTATGCGCTCCTGTAGATGAAGTTCATAACTTAACATCACTTTTATTTAGCTGATTTCTTTGTAAAAACGGCCATCCAGTGCTGCACAAACATTATCGTAAACCTTTGATGTTTGAAGAAGACGGTGATGGAAACCAGCCGTCAATCAGCCCTTGGGGTAACTACGAACTTTTTACAAGGCAAGAAGATTAATATACTCCATGAGACGAATATACTTCATGAGACTAGTAAGATGCAATCAAGTATTGCACTTTGGTTGATAATTGTTAGAAATTGCCCAACCATACAGAAAATTGGTCTTTTGTTCACTTTTCAGTCTGCTCTGATGTAAGGGGAAGGTTTTAATATTTTCTATATCATCTGAAATGTTTGTGACAAAAAAAAAGAGCAAAATCAACAATAATCAGTTTTTATTTCTGCAACTATTTCTCCTTGTTTTTGGATTTTTTAGAGAAAATGTTTGCACATCTAGGAAGGCAGAGGTTTGGTCTGAAATCTGGGATTTTTGCAGACGATCTGAGCTCTCACACATTCCAGCCGGATGGTAAACAGGATGGGGGGGCGAGGATGAGGTGGATGGGAAGGACGGTGGCAGGACGAAGAGGAAGAGAGGCGAAGTGTTACACTGCATGATGATGGCTTGGTGAGTGACAGGGATGTTAGTAAGAAAAATAAAATAAATAAAATCTGGCCAAAACACGGCACTCAAACTCAGGGGGGAAAAAAAGGGGCCAAACCACAGAAAAATAGGAAGGCAACAAAAGGAAGATCCGAACAAAAAAGCTGCACAAAAACACCAAAAAAAAAAATAAAGGGAATAAATATATATATGTGTAATATATATAAAGAGGAAAATATACGTGTAAAAATATATCAAGGGGTTATGTTTAACGTCAGGTTTGTTGCCTACCTTCTTGGAAACCTGAATGAGAGATTTCTACAAAAAACAAAAGAGGGATAAAGAAAGACAAAAAAAATTGGATGTATAAAACGTATGCATTTACAACTTTACTGTAAAAAAGATAAACTGTCCTCAGGATAAAAAAATAAATGAACAAAAAAAAGAAAATGAACAGACAAAACATCAGTAATCCTGCATATAGTGATTAAAGGTGAACCAATGTTGTTAGAGGGGTTTTAAAGGACGTCTGAGGGAAAATCTAAAACCTACGACGGAGTTATAGGGCCAAAACGAAACTGTAAAAATGAAGTTATGACTCTAAAGTCATACAATAAAGAGATATAATTACAAGTCATAATATTACAAGTTATGATATGAGAATAAAGTAGTAAAATTACAAGAATAATGTCAGTTATATGAGAATAAAGTTGCAATCATAAAAGAATAGAGTCAATTTTACCAGAATAAAGTCGTTATATTACTTTATTCTTGTGATGCCACAACTTTGTTTTCGTCTCATTTTGTTTTAATTTTCTAACTTTATTTTTATTTCTACATTTTCTTGTGATAATACAATTTCAATTTGATATTATTTCAACTTTATTCTTGTACGACTTTATTCTTGCAATATGCAATATTACAAAAATATAGTTTTACTCTCAAAATTATGACATTAATCTCATACAAGTTTATTTTCGCAAATGACTTTTCTTAATTTTACAATTTCATTCTCAAGTTTGCGACTTTACTCTCTTAATTTGATGACTGTCATGATTTTTTGACGCCATTCTCCATTTTATGACTTTACTTTCCTGATTTTATATTGTCATAATTTTACGACTTCATTCTCCTAATTCCTCTGCTATTTTGGTGGCGTGGCCCTAACGCTCTGCCGTAGAAAGCCTTTCTGCTCTGCCTCAACACAGTGAGACGAAACTCTCCTCTGCGTAACGCAGCCGTCCTGGTTGATCCTGAAATTAAGCGTTTGTGATGCGAGAAGATCAACCGTGCAGCAAAGAACAAAAACATTCCCATAAAAAAAAAACACACACAGAGACGGTTAAGCTACAACTTCATCTGTAAACACACAGACAGAAACTCCAGAACAAGCATGGCGGTAATGGTTGGGTGCTGCGACTTCCTGCTTTCCTGACCGGTTTGTGTGTGAGCATGTGTGTCAAGGTGTCTCCACTCGCGGTATTTATAGTTGTGGGAGAAACGATATCTCCGGTGTAACCATGGACACGCTGAGTGGGAGGCTTGGAGAGCGGCTGTACCTCCGTCTCCTCCTCGGACACACGAACGCACGCGCTTTGTTTCCGTGAGGACGGAACGCCAACGAAACGCCGGCCTCGTCCTCACAAACACCTGAATGACCCAGCAGAACTCAGACCGCCATAAAACTGATCAATCTGGAAGAAAATAATTCATTTATATTCCTCTAAGGATATATAAATGTCCTAAAATGACTCGCTGCTCATTGATCAACTTTGACTTCAAATATATGTGAAACTACACAATATTTTATTATATCTAGTTAACTTGCTTATCTTAATATTTGTTTTATTACACATTTTCTACCTACTTTTATTATTTTAGATTTATTATTATTATAACAACAATATTCTTAAATTGTGTGTTTATATAAATATATATTTTTATATTTATAATTAAAAATTAATATATTGGTAAATATAGCCACTAAACTGCAATTTCTATGTTCTCTCAGTGTCATTGCATAATGCATTTAAGGTAATTTAGTTCTATTGTTAGAGCTGCTCATTTTATTATTATAATCAATATTATTATCACCACTCATTGTCTCTATGTTACAGTTACATGATTATTACTAATATTGTTTTTTCATTTTCAGGTTTCAGATGTAATTTTGTTGAATTTACATTTTTCTCACATTATTATTCATTTATTTTCTATTTGTATTAATTATTTTTTTAAAGCCTATAACTACTAATATTTCTCAATTCATATGCAACCACATAAACATAATTAAGAAAAATATTACAATTGCAAGCATTATTAATCATTTCTTTTACTTATTTGATATTCAGTAAATTTTTAATAAATTATAATTCATATAGTTTATCATTTATTACTATTGACCCGTTTTATTTCTTTTCAGTAAATAGTCAAGGCTTCCACATTTGATACTAACATTTCTGCCTTAAAGAAACAAAACAGAATTGGATCTTCTCTTTGTCTTGCTTTAAAAATCCATGTTCCTATTATTCTGCTTTTAATGCTATAATAAAAGTCACTGCCCTTATTATTGTTAGCATGACATTTTTGTGACCGTCTACTCCAGCAGCTGCAGATTCATTCTTTGCCTTATGATCTTTAAATAGTCAAAATCTGCAACTTAATGACAATATATTTCTAGTTTAAAGAGAAAAAAAATACTTCAGTCTCTATGATAAATCCTGCACAACTGCATAAAACAAAATGCTGAAGAAATTGGACCACAACCAAAATGACTGGCTGGTGAGAGCAGCTCCAACCCAGATTACAGAGCAGCTGCTGCTTTCTACTTTCCTTTTTCACCTAAGCAGCGCTGTGGGGCTGCCGGTGCAGAGTACTGTAATTCTGGCAGGAAACTGGCCCGTTAAATGACTTGTAAAGCACATCTCGCCTCAGCCATCTTCAACTGGTGCTTAAATACCAACAATAACGACCACCAATATAACTTCACTGCCTGTAAACCTCCTCAACATCCTTCCTGTTTCACTTCCTTCCTTCCTCTGATCCTTCCTTCCTCTGAAGCTGCAAACGGAGACGATCCTCGACCTGCTCATCTTTCGACCACGACCACGACGATTACTCACTTTCGTACAAACTTGGATGTGAACTTGCTGAAAATCCCTGTGGCCCCGTGGCCCCGCCGGGCCTGGCTGTTGCCGTGCGACAGGGACGGGGACGCGGGCCCGCCGGGGTAGGCGGAGCCCTGCTGGTCGCGGGCGCCGCGCTGCTGGCCCGCGTGGAACGTGCTGCGGACGACCCCGCCTCTGGGGAAGTTGGTGCGGTCAGATACGGTCGAGCTGCTGATGTTGTGGGCAGACGGGGAGGCACCGGGCGGCCGCTGCGGCGCGGCGCTGCAGAGGAGAAGAAAGCGAAAAAAAGAGGGGGAGGAGGGGAAAAAAAAAAAGAGAAAGTGGTGTGATAAGGGAGAAAAGTGGGAGGTGATGAACAGAATTTAAAGCTGAAAAACGAGGATGTGGAAGACAAACAAGTTAGAAAAACATTGGAAATCCATTCACTTTGTTTTTACAGTCAATATTCTGATGAAGTCACGTCAGGTCAGCGACTACAGGCAGTTATGATCTTCAGTCTGAGGAGACTTTCACACTGAGCTAAAGCTTTGCGTTAGCATGTTTCACTGTGGATGCACAGATCCACTTTTGCTGCTTCTCTGCAGCTCCGTCGCGCTCTGACCGGTGAAAGTGCGGCTCGGTTTTAACCAGGTAGTGAGCTTTTCCTTTACACGCTGCGTTCCTCAGAACCAGGTGGGCGGGATGTGGTCAACTCTCTGCTGATGGAGAACCTCTAGTTCTAATGGACCAAAATAAACCCAGATATTTCATTTTGTCTTGTAGAAATTTGTTGCTTTATTTTTAAAACGTGTACAGGCAAAAAGTACAAACCAATCGCCACGCAAAGACTATTATTTTTAATCCAAATGAAAAATAAAATTTACATCACAAGTTAATATTATGTAGTTCCAGTGTTTCTGCGGTGTGAGCACAGCTGCACTGTTTCTCTCTTTTTTATTACTGTTCGTATTTCAGAGCGGCTAGCTGTTAGCGGCTAGCTGTTAGCTGCTAGAAGCGCTGCTAACTCATGGTCAGTCTGACGCAAAACGTGCTCCTGATTGATCAGAAATAATAAATCTTGAATACACTGAAACAATTTTTAAAAAAATTTAATTGCTAAACACTTAAAAACGATATCCAAAAAAGCCTTAATTTTGTCTGTTTTAACTTCAGACAGCGAGGAAAAATACTTTTATTAGGTGTATGAAAATATCTGGTTTCATCTGGAACATTTTTTATCAAATGTTTTTATTGCAGCTTATTAATAAAACTGTGCAGATAAAAAAAAAATCAAGCACTTTAAATGACATTCAAATATTTTCAAGGATTTCAAGCACCAGTATGATCCCTTGAATTACTTTAGCTAAATTAATCTTCCCAGAGATTACAGACTAAATAGAAATCAGGTCTGACTGATTATCTGGATCACCTCAGAGTGTTTCTCTGCTGTCGCCCATAAATACAAGCTTTCCGCCAGAGACAGATTGCATAACGAGTCTGAGAGCGAAGCAGTCCTCTCCAGCCCCCTCGACAAAACTTAGAGCTCAATCCAGAGCTGAGATCAAGAAGGGAGAACGTCAGCACATCAGTTAGATGAAACGAAGAAATAAAACAACCTAAACAACACAGGCTGGATCAGGTGGATCAGTTGAATAGTTCTGTGGATGGAAATGATGCGAGTTGGGTTAGATAATGCGTGTCAGCATTCAGCATTAAGAGAATCCGTGTTTCTAATGTAGCGTACGCAGAGGTTAATGGAGCGGCAGCATCGTTTCTAATGTGGCCACAATTAGAGGTTTTCTTCACATGTAGCATCAAATTAACCCTCAGCTGATCCCGTCACAAGCAGATGGCACTAGAGCATCGGAAAAGACCCGACAGGGAAAACGTTTTTAATAAAGTTGTGTCTCAATAAGTGATTCAGTTGAACATCATCATTATTTTCACCACTTTGCTGAAGCTTTTGTCACAACGAGCTGCAATTAATACCGTGTTGTTGTGGTTTCAGTCTTAGTCTTGACGCGGCATTTTTATGCTGCAACTTAATTCGACACTTTGGTCAAATGTAACCAAGTTTTTAAATTTGAAAAACTTTGAAAATTCAGATTTTCTTCACAGGTTTGCAGCAACATTTAAATGTCATTTAAGGCTCCATTGTTATGATTACAGCAATGGCTCTGAAAATAATTCCTGATTTAATTAACATTAATTTTTGAGTTTTTTTCCCCAGAATGTTTTTTCACCAGATGGCCTTTTTGACAGTCTGAATACTTCAATCATCTAGTTTAGAAATTAATTAATCTTTAACTGGAGCATACAGACTTAAAAAAAAAGCCCATTGGTGGATAAAAAATAAATCATCTGAATATGCTGCAATATGTTTCTTTTTTCCTCAATTGTTGGATTAATTGAGCGTATGAAAGCACTGCTGTTAAACTTATTTCTTTGCATGGAAAGTATTCCTGGCTCAATGTTTCTATTCACTTCATTTACTGAGTTTTCCTTTCCTGGTTCAGTATTTCAGCTTTAAGCCAATTTATTGTCCTACAGTGTGTTCTTAAAGGCAATCTTTTTGTTTTACCCAGAAGAAAGTACTTCTGGTCCTTTGGTTTGTTTTGTGTGTGGATCATCTTCCTCTGTTCAAACAAATAGTATTTTCCCCCACAGTCTCCACATGCTTGTTTAATGTAAGCTCTTCCTTACGTAACTGAATTTGACAGAAATGTGTTTTAATTTCTATCAAATTAGTATTGGATATGAATCTAACTGTTTTTTTGTGCAGAACTAGACTAATTTGGATTTATTTGAAACTAATTGGTTTCTTTATTGGATATTATTTAAAGTGAATTGGAGATAAATGTTTAATTTAAGCTTGTTATAAACAGGTAACTTTGTGACTTTAAAGACTTGCAACTCTTTTATACATCCTGTTTTCTTGCAGCCACACAGCGTTTCCTCGTCCTTGACCCCATTTAACCTCTCCAACCGTCTCCAGTTTCGTCAGACGCAGAAAACCCTGCAGGTTTTCGAAACGCTTCTCGAAGGAACCTTCAGCTTCAGATCAACAGCTTTGAGGAAGAGGAAATAAAGCAGCTCTAAAAATGAGAGACAAACGAGCAGCTATCAGCTGCTGTGTTGACTGCAGGTGCAAAAATTAACACAAAGAGGAGGCGTTTTGTACATCCTGTGCACTTGGAGTCCCTTTTCACACAGAATACTTTTATTCTAGACACGAGGAATTAAAAATGAAGACAAATGTGCCTCTGTGTGAGGACTGCAGTCAGAATTTGGGGAATACCACTCTGCTTTACAGGCTACAACCTGCAGCTCTTAACTTTTTTTTTTCTACGTTTATTGAATATTTTATATTACAAAACAAGCAAGTGATGTTGCAACTGGCATTAGATTAACATTCAAGAAATGACTAAGATATAAAACAGACACAGTAAAAAAAACAAAAACCCTTAGCACTAAGAATAATTTCCTTAATGAATCAGTAACTCTGACAATACAAGCAAGTCATTCCAGTTCAGCTCTTCATCATTTTGGTCAAAAATGCTAAACGATTGCTACTTTAAAATAAAATGCTTGCTATTTTTATGCAATATGTTTATGCAAAGCATTTCCAGAAAGAATGACACAGACAGAGCAAAGAATGCTGTTTTTCATCAAGTAACTTTTTTGACTTTTTGTTGCAAAGTTTGTATTTTACCATGACTTTCAATAACATTCATTTAAAGTAAATAAATGAATAAATTATTCCTTTGTGTAAAATTTTTGAGGATTTTCTTATTTAAAAAAAGCACATTTTGTTAAAAATAAAGATAATTTGTTTCATCAATTCTTTTCTTACTAATTTTTAACCATTTCCGCTACATATCGGTTTCTTCTGCATTGATGTGCAGCATTTTCTGTTAGTCTTGTGCAGTATGTTATGATCACTATTATTGTCACTGATCTATAAAGCTTCATATACATATTTGTTTTTAACAACAAAAACTGTATTTTTGTGTGAACCCTTACACTCAAAAGTTGCCTTTGTGTGACAATAAGCACTGTTTCTATTTCGACGCTTTTGAGGCTCTAATTAAATCTTGTTTAGTTGGACCAAACGCACAAAGGCTCTCAGGGTAGAAAGGTCGCTGACCTCTGTTTTAGATTACACCTGCCCATTTATGAGCAGAGAAAAAGAAAAGCAATATAAACTAAACTCCTTTTAAAATCAGTCAGAAAACGAGATATTTTGGAAGTCATGTGGATGACTGGACATGCTACGGATGGGAGTAAGTTTATGTTCTGCCTGTTGGTGAGTCGTGGTTCAGTCCAAGTGTCTGAGTGGTACCTTCTCTCCGGCGTTCCCAACCAGGTTCTGAACAGGCCGAGCTCAGGGCTGAAGGACGCATGCAACAGAACGAGACAGAACCACACACAGCCAGAGGGCCACTTTGACATTCGCTCTGCAGGAAGTTTAACTCTGACATTTGAGCCAGCTGCATCCAAAGTGTTCGAGATCTCCCCGATCCGCGCTGGGAATCACAGGCGGCGGTTTGGGGAAAATTAGAGCAAAAATATCAAAGTGGCCCTCAAGGAGACGCACAGGTAGAACGGGGAAGCAAGCCGACAGCAGGACAATGCAAGACACAGAAAGCAGGTAGCAAAGTCTGGTTGGAGGTTCTTGTAATGGAGTTCGGATTTCCCAGGCAATTTGTGTGAGATTAAGATGTACTGCAACAATTTTCACACAAATTAGGGGAACAGAATATTTTTTTTAGCCAAATAAAAGCCCTTTCTATACAAAAACAGCATGTCAGTATTTAACAAAAATTCTAATGCATTCAGAAAAAACAAAATAAATCAGTTGTAATAACTTCATGACATGATGAAGAGATAATTCATATGTTAATTCAGGTGTGCTGAAGAAACTTATAAAAAAGTAAGTCCTCTAGTATGAAGATGTCACTATTTCAACCTGAAAATCTACCAACACTTCTTTTTGTACCTTTCTAAAATATATATGAAAGTGGTTCTTCTAATTAAGCTCTAAGGACTTATAAGATCCATTTTATTCTCATTTTCTGAGTAAAATGTGCTGTGATTCAGACTGCTACAGGAGTAGAACCTTGTTTAATAAAAGCTACAACATGTAATTTATCTCAGGGATTAATTAATGTGTGGAGAAACATCTTTTTTCTCCAATCATTATGATAAACAAGGCTTCCTGTCAGAGGCAGAGTGTGGAGAAAAACCTGCTCAGCTTGATCTGAAACGTGTGATTGCTCAGTTATGGTCTGACGAGTAAAAAGTGTGATTTGACAGGGCCTGTTTAGCTGTAGGAAAAAAAAAAAAAAAAGCGAGCCATGTCAACATTCCCACAGTTTTCTCAGCTCGACTGTGTAGTTCCTGGCTGTTGCTAGGGAACCAGCGAATCTGAGGCTGCACTGGTAGCAAAAAATAAAAAAAAAAACATGTAAAGTCACAAACGCTAACATGTTAGCTGCTAACCTGTAAAGATGAAAGTCAGAGTGGTAGTTTTTCAGCTTGTTTGCTCAACAATGAGGTTAAAGTTGAATGAAAATATTCTGAAATCATTGGAGAAACATAAAGTTTTCCCCATTTTGATTCCATGACTGAATGTGTGAAGATGCAAGCAGAGAAGCAGGAAGAAGAACTGCTTCGATTGATTAAGTCATTAATGAGAGGGAATTATTAGGGATGCACCGATCCACTTTTTTCATTTCTGATACCAACATCTGAGGTGCGGCATTGGACAATATTGATCCGATACAGAAAAACAGTGCTGAATTGATTTAAAACGTTTCTTTAGACAGATATAGATGCACTAATTACACATTTCATAGCTCTTTTTATGAAGGTGAAACTTCATTAGTTTACGTATTTACATTTCAAAACAAAACTGCACAATGTGCCTTTTTTGTGTCCAAAAATGGAGTCTGGACCGTTTTTCTTCACCATCCTTTTACTGCCAAACCACCTTTGTTTTTTTGTCAAATGGCTTCAGGGATGACCAGGGATGCCATCTGCTGGATGGAGGCTAAACTTCAACACCAACAGAAGATCTAAGTGGACGTTTTAAGTTTATGGACTGGAACAAATTTGAATCTAATCAACAATTAATTGTTTGCATCCCTAACTGGGACCAATACAGATGTTTCTATTGGATCGATGCATCTCTAAAAAATTATTAGCACAGGGGGGAAAATCACAGATTTCTCCCAGATTGTGTCTTGATCTCTCCTCTGTGTCCTCTCCAGGAAGAGTGGTGTGAGGTAGAAAGGTGTGTGTTTGTGTGTCTGCGATGCAAAGACTTGCCTGGGCCGAGGTGCGTGCAGGTCAGAGGGGCATGGATGATTGGAGGAGGACAGGGACTTTTGGTGGCGGGGACGCGAGGACGTGGAGGAGAGGACGGCAGCGGCTGAGGCAGTGGAGGCTCGGGAGCCCGGAGTGTTTAGGCTGGCATGGGAGGGGAGGGAAGGAGGAAGAGGAGGAGGAGGAGGAACACCCCGCCCGGCGAAACACATCCAAACATATTCACACACACACAAGCGGGCGGGGTTTGTGTGAGGGTGGGTGGGGAAGTGAGGTGGAGTATAGTTAGAGGCAGCATTTATTGTTTAAAAACAAAATAAAATAATAATAAAATAAAAAAAAAGAGGAAAGTGAGAAAAATAAGTAGAGACAGGAGATGCATGCAACAAACACAGTTGGTCTTCATTTGTTTTCATCTGTGCGGTTCCACAGAAAAGGAGAAACCACAATCAAGCTGGTTTTTTGTGCTTTCATCTTTTCACATAAAGGAAAACACAAAGGACCAACTTCTAGATGATTCAGAGCCGTCGCACCAGAAGAAGGCAATTTATGGAGACAAAGAGAGACAGAAATGTGCAAAGCAATAAAACTCAAAACATTGGGAGACAAAAACATCTCTGTTTTATGGTCTATTGTGCCCAGTGTTTAGGACTGCTGTGCACAAACTGAACAACTAATTTTGCTTCTCATCCAGAGCTTTCTAAAAATTATTCATACCCCTTGAACCTTGTTCCAATCTTCTCCCATTAACGCAACACAATGCACAATTATAGGGCGTATCTCAGTAGAAATTGCTAAGCACAAATGAATCCAATTTAGTTTTAAGTTACAATTTAATTCAACATTGTCACAAAAATCTACCACTTTGTGCTACACGAAATCGGAAAGAAATGCATTTTGTTGTAACCAAACAAATGCAAAAAGTTTCACTGCTTAGTTCAAAAAGTGTGATTTATATCACCAAGCTGCACAAAGCAACTGCATTTAATCATATTTTCGAATTTACTGATATGTATTGAAGTATCAAGCATATTATTAGTTTTTTTATTTAAAATTCATTTAAATATATTGTGGCAATAAATGATGCCTCTTTCAAGGGGTATGAAAACTTTAGCAGAATCACCTGTGAATGAACATCAAATAACATTTAGTGATAAATATCTACTGCAAAAGCAACTAGCAGTTGGTTTGCCCAACTGTTGCATGGTTGCACTGTCTAAGCTCTGACTTTGCATTATAGATTTCATTTGCGTTCACGCTCCTGTCATGTCAAGCAGCAGATTAGGGCTAAAACGATTAATCGTGATTAATCGATTATTTAAATAATCCTCAACTAATTTAGTAATAGAATAAATGTTAGCTGGAGTAGGCCATTTCCTGAAGAAAAAAAAAACAATTAAGAGTTGTAATTAAGTCAAAACTATGCAAAAAATATATACATTTGCATTTAAGATGAAAACACTTTTGTTTGTAAATATGTTTTAACTCCTCAAGCTGCAGATTTAGCTTCACCTGGATCGGATTTACTAAATAAATGCTACATTATTGCACTTTAGGCAATCAAATGTTTATTCACTAAAAAAGGAATTTAGTTGTTTATTTGCATCCTTTAATGCATTCTTAATATTACATAAAAAGGCTTAAGCGGTTAAATGAAATGTATAATTTTTCTTATCCAATTAATTGACAAATCGTCAAAAAAAAAAAAAAAAAAAAACAGATTCAGATTCTCGACTTTCTAAACATTTTCTATTTCCATCTCCTTAACTTCCCTGAACTACATCTGTGTTAATTAGCAAGCTTGTCCAGCTGCTACAGAGCTCTGCACATCACTGACAGCTCTAACTTTGTGCCAACATGGACATAGAGTGAGAGAGACAGAGAAAAAGAAGAACAAGAACACACACAGTGAGGGTACTGTGTGTGTTCTTGTTGTTTTTCTCAGAGTGGTACCACAGGGAGACAGAGAAAGAGATCGTTAGAGAGAGAGAGAGAGAAAGAGGCACAGTTACTAAAGTCGAACAACAAATGATTATTGCACAGAAAAAAAGACATAACAGTGAGGGGGAAATTCTCTCTTTCCGATATGGATTAGCAAGGCTGGCGAAACAAAGCACTGCTTTTTTTTCAGGAGTTTTACACATCAGGACATAATAAAAGCCGTCAAGTCTTTAAATAAAACTACATAAAGGAGAGAGAAATTGGTGGAGTTTGGTCACCCCTAATCCTTTCATAGGATTTAAGAGGGAAAGCAGCAACCAGGTGTTAGTAATTAAATTAATTTGATGAACGGCAATCTCATAAGAGAAGGAGATTAGAAAGTTTTCAGCTCTAAAGTGTCCAGCTGTGTTTTAACACAATGCCACGCCGGAAAGGCATCAGCAACGGCTTTACTGCTATCAATCTGGGAAGGTTTGTAAAGTAATTTACAGACAACTAGCAGGTCTTGATGAGCAATTAAAATTTTGTGCTAAAATACGATTTTTTATTTTTGTAGTTGTTCTCGCTACTAAATAAACGCAAACCCAATCAGACTTGTGTATGAATAGTTTACAACACCAAAGCGATGCGCATGTGAAGAAGAAGAACGTTGACGTCACACAGCAGTGTCTGATTGTGGAGGTGAAAATGGATGGAGCCGTTTGTGGACCGATTTAAAGTTTATTTACCAATGATTCTCAACGTCATGAAGCAAAGAAAATAAAAAAAAATTTAAAAAATGGTGGCATTTAAATTAGCATTAGCTTTTTAGCTAATTTTGTCTTCAAAACTAAAAAGCTATCTCAATGAACAGATTAGGTTTATTGAACATGCTAGTGTAAGCCAACATGAACTTTTTGGCTACAAACGCTTCAAAAACAATCAGATAGGTATCCGATTTAGCACCATATATAGACGAGGCACAAATTGGACTTTTAAGGGTAGAAAATATCAAAATAAGTATAAAAAGTCAGATTTGGGTCTCATTTGTCTGCTGTGTGAACATAGCCATAAAGTACAGGCTCCAGCCAGCAAGTTAAACGGTGAAATTTGTGAACAGCACTTTCTCAGATGAACAATTAGAAAAATGTAGTTTAGCTAGTAGAAAAATATGCACTACTGAATAATTGCATGAATAGTTGCCAAGAAATTGATTATATCTAAGCAGTTTTTCCAAAATGGAGTTTAATTTAGTTTTAAACACATTCATTCTTGCTTCATATTCTGAAAGAAAGAAAGCTGTTGTGTGTTTTTATGCAGCATTTAGACTTAAATACCTTCAACACTTGGTTGAGACCAGATTATTTTATTAGGTCCTGATATGAAGGAAAAAAGCTAGAATTGACAGTGGGTGTACTTTCATTTTACCATGACTATGTTTAAAGCTGCGCAAGCCTATAAACACAGACCACACAAATTAAGGAGAGGGTTAATATTCCACCAGTGGTGCTAATCTCAAAAAGAGAGTGAGGGAATGTAGAAATAGGACGAAAGATTAATATTAAGACAAGGACTAAAGGAAGCCAAGAAAGGAGGAGTCAGAGAAAAGCAAGACTCAAGAGTCCAGAGGGATAAGCGCTCAGACAAAGATAAAAGACGACCAAATTAAGAGCATTAGAAGAGTTGAGACGGAGAATGAAGATGAGAGAGAGACAGTGGGAGAAGTAAAACAAGTAAAAAAAAAAAGCCCAAACTTCAAAAGCATTAATGATGATTAAAAAAAAAAAGCAACTTCAAAAACAAAGCAGATGATAACCACTATGTTAGCAGAAACTAGCATAGCTAATAGACCCACATGACTTTAAAAACATAAAGCAATGAGCTCTGAAATGAGCCCTTCATCACCAGGCAGCACTGAATCAGAAGACAAAAATCTGTGAAAAATGTTCAGATACATCAGTGCCTGAGCACAGATTCAGCTGAATTTCTGCTACTGCAGATAAAGCGCTGCTGGCACCGAAAGGGGTCATTTGAGAACGACAACATGAACAGTAATAAAGCAGTTATGAACCATGAACGCCGTCGCAGTTGGGATTATGTTTTGGCTTGATGTTTAAAGCTCATGAGAAAGCGTACAAAGCGTATGGCTGGTTAAGCATGAGCTGCATGTGAGGACATGAATGAGTCGGGAAATGCAAAATTTAATGACGGTTGAAGCAAATATTTGCTTTCGATTAAGCATGTAGTTCCAGTGCAGACAAAAGACTTTAACATTTTTTTTTTGTCCAAACTGGAAAAGTCTGAAGCGACTGAGAAAGAACAGTTTGAAGCATGAGCCAAATTTAGAAAGAGTAAAATGAGAGGGAGTATCCCAATCCCAAAGGAAGAACATGGGAAGCCAGTTTTATAGCCTAATATTATAGACTTGCGATTCCTTTTACCGTCCAGTTCCCTCGAACTCCCTGCTCTGACTGCCGGGCCTCCATGTCAGCATCATGGGGGAAATCTGTAATCTACTGGAGGTCTGGCCTAAATTCCCAGGACGGCCTGGTTTTGGAGTCCAGGAGGGCTTACCCCTCCCTGCGCCAGCTGGCAGCACTCTGCAGAGCACCAGCCAAGGTCTGGGGATCAGTCAGCGACATGGCTGAGGGGCGGCTTCGTTCACAAACCGGTGTGAGCGCGCTCTTGCTCGGCATGCAGCGGCGGCGAAACGGCACCGGCTGCCTTTTGATTGATGTATGTGTACTGTGGTCTGTTGGAAACCTCGTTATTTTGCGAGCCTGGGGTGTGTTTGTGTACCTGTCTTTGCCATTCTGAATGCCAGTGCCAAGCGTGGCTCTCTCAGCCAGCGGAGAGTTCCTACTGCGGCTGGTACCGGTGGAGAGGATGCTATTCTGCAGACGGACAGAAGATAGAAATGTTTGAACCAGACTGACTGTTCGCCTTTCACATCAGAATCATATAATTTCTTATCAATTCACTGAAATACACTGGAGGTTATGGACTGTGATAATGGCAGCTAATGACTGATGCAGAGAAATAACAGCATTTCTACACCCGACACAATGCTTATGTAAGCAGCTGAGTGGCTATTTTACGGACGGACGATATGGCTGAAAAACGTGACTGTGTAAGAGTTTCATATTAGTCAGTATCAATAATTATTTATTAGTTTTTTGTTTTAAATTTATGAAACACAGCCAAACTGGCTGCGTGACCTTTGAGTTTTCACTCCACGTTGTTGTTTTCTATTTTTAAGCAGTTATGACGCAGGGTGGTGAAACCTGAAACTGCTGCTGCGCAAAGTTACTCAACTGATTGTTGTTGCTAGGTAACCAAAGGATGAGAGAGTTGTTGCTAGGTAACCAAAGGATGAGTGAGTTGTTGCTAGGTAACCAAAGGATGAGGGAGTTGTTGCTAGGTAACCAAAGGGTGGGCAAGTTGGTTGATTCCACCAACTTTGCTTCACTGGTTGAGAGAGGTTGAACAGCTAAAGCCCTGCCTCTGCCTACATCCCCCAGAATGCTGTGCGGTTCTGCATCAGAGTTCAGTGAAAAGATTGAATATTCTACTGGATTGATATTGATCACGAGTCGATTGCGATATACATCGTTATTGATTTACATTGGGAGGGACCATTGCTGCCGAAAACTCTACCCTCTCTTCATGGAAAGTATGCATGGCCTAGTAGTTTAGTTTCTCTTTATCTGCTCCGTTTGCTTTCCTTTCCCATAGAAAGTTTTTCTTTTTAGACAGAGCTGCTAAGGAGCCAATGCTGCCAGTAACATTTTGTCCTCTCTCTTTCTGAAAATGTTGCTCCTGGCTCATAATAGGCTCAGTGTTTTGTTCCAACACTGCAGTTACTGGTTATTTTAGTAATCATTTATTTTATTGAGTTATCGGATAAATAAAATTGGCACTTTCTGCTGATTTTTTTTTATTGAACCATTTAAACTAATGTGTTACAATATAAAAAAATGGAAATAATTGAAATTTTTCAACGAAAAAATCTTTTTATTGCCCCAAATGCTTGAGTGTATGCTTGATAATTTGCAGGAAGGTAAAAAAAAAATCTGCATATGAAAAGTTCACCCCTTTTCTTTTGACTTATCAATACAGTTTAACGTCGATATGTTGAGTATTTTTCAAAACATTGGATGCAAAAGGTGCTTATCACGAGATTTAGATATTTATTTATTTTTGACAAAATTTTAACTAAAATCACCACTTGAGAAATTCTAAGTAGAACATATTTACAAATAAGGTTTTTCATCTTAAATGCAAAATGTTTGTATTACTGTTGGCTTCTTTTGAGTCTGCGTACTTAGTTAATTATTATTTTATAACTAAACCAACTGACAATCGTTTCAATAAGCGATTCATCATGATTAATTGTTTCAGCCCTACTTTGCTCTTAAGCTTTTTTAATCCCTGGCCGTTGACTGAACCATAGAAAGTATTCCTGACTCAATACTTTCTTTTTTTTTTTTAAAGAAATTAATCCTCTTCAGTTTCACAACATGATTTATTGGACAACCATTTGTACTGGCATTTTATAATCAAAAAGTACTAAAAGTATTTAGATTTGAATGTGTTCATATGACTGGATTGTATTCAAATGAATTTTTAAAAAAAAGGGAAAGGAATTTAATTGGACACATTAAATGTCCTGAACTCTTTTTCTCTGTAAACGTTTTTCCCCAAACAGTTTTTCACATTTTGTTTTAAAGTAGTAAAATGGATGTCTTGAGGTAGAAACAGAAGCAATGTTACAGAAACAACAAATAATCAGAAAACATCTCTATTCTGGTATTGCCGTTTCAGTGAAACACATAAATGAATGGATGTAGTTAGTTAATTTTTGTCGTTTCATTAGAGCACGGCGTTCTTACAGTGGAAGGCGTGGCGCTCTTTTTACGATCCGATGAGACCAGAGGGCTGGCCCCCACCTTGGTAGTGGAGCTGCCTGACGAACCTTTCCTCCCAGAATCCTCTGCTGTAGAGCGGTTGTCGGACAGACCTCCCCTCTTTGAGTAGGAGGAGCCTAAGAGAAGACAGAGTTGGCGTCAGACGCAACATCACTTTTAAAGTCCTGCAGCTCATTTGTCTAGCATCACACCAATTTCTACTTAACTTGAATGTTTTCCACAGCACAACTAAATGTATCTACAAAATAAGTGCTTCACTCATAAAATTGGACAGAATAAAAATTAAAAATGAGCTCATTTGTTTTTCAAGCAACCAGATAGCTAAACTTGCTAATTTCCTGTCCCAGTTCACATCAGCTTTAATGAACTCTGATAAAAACCAGCCTCACTCTGGTCAGTGGTTCTGCGATTCTGAGGCTTCGGGTTGGACGACACGCTGCGCTGTACCTGTGAAGGGAACCGAAGGAACAAATTAGCCAAGTCCAACGTGATGGTGACAAAATACTGTCGAACTATTGTGCTGCTGTTGTTTTGTAACCAAACTGAAGTTCCTATTGGATGTCACAGGTGCAGGAAATGATTTGATAATGTAAAAAAATAAGAAAAGAAAAACAGAAAATAGTTTTAAAAATAATAAAATTTATGTAACTAGGCCGTTCAAGATAAATTTTGCTGGACCTTAAATTTTCTCAGAAATTAGTGCAATAAATGATAATATTGTCATTTTAGTTATGAAATTATACCATAAAATAGGAAAAATTTGTTTAATTTCCAGAAAATATGTAACACAGGAACTGGAACACATTTTAAATATCCAAAATAAATAAACAAAACTATCAAACCATTACATAAAATGGATCATAAAGTTCAACAAAACAGAGTTGCCCTTCAAAACATATTGATAAAAACACTTGAACAGGAAAACAAGCAAAAACAAAAAAAAAAAAAAAAAAAAAAAAAAAAAAAAAAAAAAAAAGCAAACTAACTACTTTGTATTGTGTGTCAAATGTTTGCATAATATTTTAAAATGGCAGCTTTTCACTAATTTTAAAGATGAAGATAATTACACAAATGAACATGCAAATTGAAATTATCGAGGTTTACTGCTGGAGTCACTGAATTTGTTTGCATTTTTACAGAAAGAGCCCCAGTCCACAACCTCCATGTCCCTTCAATGCCCGTATAGTCAGAACTTACAAAGAGGACAGGTGTGATTTAGAGGTTAAAAAAAAAAGCAGCATTAATATGTGTATTTGCACCTTGTGAGGTGGAGATGGGGCATTTATGTTGCTTAAATCACTTCCTGGCCTTGGTTTGAGGGGTAGTTCATCCAGCTGAGGAGAAGGAAAAACATCATCAGGCACTGAGACACAAACACAAAAAAGACTAATGGCGCTCTTATGTTTTTATGTAAATACTGAAAGGAGTTACTAAGTCACTTTATTACAAAACAAAACAGAACAGAGGGTTGGTGCGTGAGCATGAGAAGAGGTCAGTACCTCAGAGTTCCTATAGTCCAGAAGCAGGAACGTAGCCATCACTTCATTGTACTTCTGGTTCAACAGAGAATCCTGGATCTCTTCTTGGGAATATCCCATCCGCAACATTTTCTCTTTACACAGCAACACAGATCATTCACGATTAAAACTTTGTGCTGCTTGTGTAGCCATAACCCTGTATGTGAAAGGGCAAAGAGCACTTAATGAAGAACAGATAGGTGGAGCTGCTATGTACCTGTTCTCCTGGGGTCTTTGTAATCTGGCAGAGGTTCGATGTAGGGTTTGAGTTCATCCTCTTCGTAGCCCACATTCATCCATCGGTCCCTCATTATCTGCTGCTGAGATAAAAAAACAAACAAACAGGATGACAAGGTTTGCTAAATGGGATAAAATACACTGCTTCATCCTAAGTGCACAATAGAGCATTACCTCAGATCCTTGTAACTATCTGATACATTTCATAACAATTCCTGTTATTTGCAGTTTCACTCATCTTAACATTATTGTTAGTTGCACACTTCTGCAAAATCTTTAGTTTTATATAATACATACAATCTGTTGTTTTTTTAAATGCACAAATACACGTAAATATTATATAACTTTTTAAAAATTATGCTGCTCGGTTTCACTTTCATTAGATCAGAGTACGCCATTTCCTGATTATGTTTAAGTTATAATCTTGTCCTTAATGCACAGTACATTTCCTAATTTTGCTTGTTTTTATTTACAGGGCTCTTACATTTTCAAATATGATTAATTACACCAATTACACCGATCAATAAGCCATTGAGCCATTAGGAATGATCAATATTCATTACACTGAAACAATCAAACAAAGTGTGCTCACATAAATGATCTTCCTGCTCAAATTAAATGCATCAACACAGTAAACAAAGAACGTTACAAAAAAAATCTCTTGCTAATTTGTCTACCATTTAGCTAATAGAAATAATTTTGGTGATTCTAACTAATCTAAAAGAAAAACTAGTAGATTAACTTCAGACAATGATTTTTTTTTATTGTATTGGTTGTATGGAAATATCTTGTTTCAACTGTAAATAACATTTTTCACATTCAGTGTTTCAATCAAGCATTAGGTTGTGCTTTATTACAAAATTGTGCAGTTTGAATATCAATTACTTTCAAAGACTGAAAAAATTACTTTTCAAACATTGAAAGCACCTAATTGAAATTTAAGCACCCGTAAAAACCCTTAATACTTTTTTAAAATTATCTTTGTGTGAACCAAAATGCCTCAATCCTGCTGTTATAACAAAAAAAACTTTAAGATGCAATCAGAATTATTTTCCCTGCTTCATTCGTATCACATTGTTCTTGAAACAAAGGTCCCACTGTTTTCCAGTAAGTAGCAGCAAAAAAAGTGACATAAAACTGAACCTAGCATGTGTTCACTACGCCTTTAAAAATCACTTTACACTGTCGTAACAAAGTCACATGCAGCTGATGAAACAATCTAGGTTTACCACGTCATGTGTGTAACAAAAACTGGTTGTATGCAGTGTTTAATAATAATTCAGCTTTATGTAACATGTTTAATCGTCATGATTAGTGGGATTTCCTGTTTACTGCTGTAGTAGCTGTGTGATTTGTGCTTTTAAATTAGTGCATGTCTGCATACCTCGAGGCTGCCTCTTTTGGAAGGGTTTAGGATTAGGAACTTCTTCAGCAAGTTCTCACAGTCAGTGGACATGTAGAAAGGGATCCTGTATTTACCACGCAGCACACGCTCTCTCAACTCCTGCACAGCAACAAGAGCATCAAAGGTTAAGGGTTAATTCCACATATTTAGTCCATCTTTAACCTGGCAATCAGGTCTGTTCAGATAGGTCATAAAAGTTGTTTACTTGAAAAGAAACAAGGGAATTAGTCCAAGTAGAAGACAACAACAAAAAACAATCACTTCAAAAACAGTTTTTAAAAAAATTATTATTCTAATCCTTAAGTGTTTGGACAGTTACTTGGTTTTTGTTCTTTCAAATAATGAAAAATTACAAGAAGCTGTTAAAATGTTCTGGCTTTTAGATGCAATATGAAAAGAACCAAGAAAGTAAAATTAGAAAGATTCAAAAGAGTTTGTGTTTTTTATTGTAAAATATGCAGCAATATCTAGAATCCACACAAGCCTAGATTGTGGCTCTTCAAACCCACATGTGGTCAAGAGTAGGAAGTGAAACTCAAGGTCACCATTGTGTCACGTTTATGTGACACAAAATAATGGATTACAAATTAAAAATTCATATAAACTGATCATTTAAAAAAGTAAAGTAAAATATTAAAACATCATCAATTTGTATTTTTAAATATAACCAACATAAAGTGTTTGTTGGTCTTTTTTTTTTCTTTTTGTTATTTTTGTATAATAAGTAAATATTCAACAAAATGCTACTTACTAGGTGAAATATCATCAATTACTATATTTGTGTTAACAGGATTAAATGAACTTTTTCTGAAAGTGAAAAGTTTTCACATTAAAATATAAAAATTAAGAGTTTACATTTTTCAGAGTGAAATTTTGAGGGTTTTTTTGGTCTAGTTTCAAGTGCAAATATTTTCGTACACTTAAATAAAACAAAAGTTACTTAACAGAAACTTTTCAGGAAGATATAAGAGTTTATTTTAAGGTCAATCATTCATTAATATTGATGAAAAAAAGTTAAAATTTCATTGGCAGATTATTTCACTTACAACAATGGAAAAGTGTCTTGTAAGTGAAATAATGCCAATGGAACAAGAACTTTTTCTTCAATGTCTTATTTCAGTTGCGCAAAGATGTTTGCACTAGAAACTCGACAAATAGTTGGGAATATTTTTGTGTTTTGCAGCGTCCAACTGCGATGTAGACTAAATGTAAAAAATGTGTCCGGCCCTTTATTCAGTTTGCTCCACATCTCCTCATTTTGAATTTAGTGGGCCAAACAGAGCAGAAACTAGCCTGATAAATCCAGCAACCACCTGATTGTGTAACGCACAGAAAACACAACCAAAACCAAAAAGTCTTCCCGTCCCAACCTTGAGGTTTTGTCCGTCGAAGGGCAGCGAGCCGCTGACCAGCGTGTAGAGGATGACCCCCAGGCTCCAGACGTCCACTTCAGGCCCGTCATACTTCTTGCCCTGGAAGAGCTCTGGAGCGGCGTAGGGCGGGGAGCCGCAGAAAGTGTCCAGCTTGTTCCCCAACGTAAACTCATTACTGAAGCCAAAATCTGCTATCTTGATGTTCATATCTGCGTCCAGCAGCAGGTTTTCCGCCTGCAGTCAGAGAGGCGTGGGAGCAGAGGAGGAGGAGACAGATGGACCAAAAAGTGAGGCACAGAAGAGGGTTCGCTTGTCCAAAAAGTGCATCAAGCTAGAAATTAAGCTGATTATTTTTGCTCTGCTTCATCTAAATGATTTATTTAGACTAAATCTTTCATTCCTCTTCTTCCGTGCAAACTGTGACAGCAGAGAGAGTCTCACTGTCTTGCAAATGAGTTTAGAAAACTATAGTAGTATTTGTTAAAGACCGAAAATAATAATCATGTTGGATCAAACACGTGCTTTCAAAGTGATGGTCTGAGGCGAAGTGAGCTCCCAGTGCTCATACTTTAATGTGCGGCGTTTTATCTTTAAGCCTGAAGTGAACCACCGAGTAAGGAGGCTGGGTTGCCTAGCAACAGGTGTGCTCTCCTTTTCACTTGCTCTGAATGCTCGGCAGCTTCTGTGCGTTTCTGGGTGAATGAGCATCAACTACAAAACCGACGTCGTCTCAGAGCTCTGATCCCAAAATGAATGAGAGCAATTTCTGCTCTTTTTAACGGCGCCGGGTGGGATTCTGGTGGGAAAACCCATCAATCGCACCGAGGTCTCACACCATTACCACAAAACTGTGACACAAAAAAATTTCTAACTTGATCCAATTACTTTGAGAGCAACATAACTAAGACTTTATTTATGCTGACTTGTTTTTTTTTTTCTTCAATGCTAATCAATATGGATGTGTGTGAAGAGACCAACTGGTCTATAAAACTAAAAATATTAAGTCAAATATTAAGAAATATGAAGTAAAATCCAGCAATATTTATATATACATATATACACACACAGAGGTCGGAGCAAGTCGCTCTTTTGCAAGTCTGAAGTAAGTCTCAAGTCTTTGTCCTCAAGTCCAAGTCAGGAGTTTGGAATTTCAAGTTTGGAGTCTTTATTCTTTTTTTTAACAATGTTCCAATTATGCTAAATTTAAATAATAGACCATGTGTTCTTTTTAAAATAAAACACACAACGCACTCATTTCACATAAAGCACAGTGGTTTTGAATTTTGATGTGATGGTAAAATAAATATGTCAGCCCAAGTGGGGTTAAATCTACAAACAATTTCACATCTCAGTATTGATAAAAACGTGTCAACATGCCAGAATCACTAATATATATATATATATATATATATATATATATATATATATATATATATATATATATATATATATATATATATATATATATATATATATGCACACGTATGTGATGATGTAGTCAGAACGAGTTACATCAACTATTTCTTTCAATAGATTATGTAAAAAGGAAAATTTAAACATTGATGGAGCATTTAAAAAAAGTCAGCAAAGGCGACAAACATGCTGTTTTATGTAATGTCTGTAGATTTACCCAAAAAATATCATTATGTTTCTAGTTTTACAAAATTTCAACATAAGATAATTGAGAAATTATCATTTATATGTAAAAGTAGAACAGCTTGAATGTTTAAGGCTGATTTGTGTATTTGCATCTTTTAATGTATTTCTGGTATTTTATTTAAAAAAATACTGTCAATTGTTTTTATCTGATTCATTATCAGAAAAATCATCTAAAAATAATCGTTTGTTGATCTAAAATATAGTTCAGAACAAGAAGAGAAATATCACATGAACATTCTCAGCTTTAAATATATTTTCATATTTTCTGCATTCTTTGTTTTGTTTCTTTCAATTATTACAAAGATCAGAAAACTTGAAAACACTTCATACCCTTTTAGTTTTAGAAGACTAAACATTCTTCAGAAGCAAAACATTGAGTTCTGCCTCAGTGTGGGACGTAGGGGGGGATTTCTTTGAGGTTATTGTGGCAGTAATCACGATAATGTCTACACGTCTGCCTTCTGGTACAATAAGAGGATTTAAAAAGCGCCATAATATGATGAACTGAAACGACCCGGAGGCTCAGATCGACGTGTGCAAAGCTGCAGCAGAGGTTTTGCCCCCAAATTCTGTGAATCGAACAGAAATAACCCAAACAATTTTCCTAAAACGGACAAAACATGGCGATCAAAAAGAGACACGGAGAGGTTATATCATCTTCGTTATTAAGCTCAGGGCCACTTGTTGGAGGGGGGGCAGCGCTAATCCAAAATTAAAATCATGAGAGGATAAATGTGTTCAGAGAGATGGGGATGCTTCTTCTCACACAGAAAATCGCTCATTCAGTAACGTGTGTGTGTGTGTGTGTGTGTGTGTGTGTGTGTGTGTGTGTGTGTGTGTGTGTGTGTGTGTGTGTGTGTGCGCGCGCACTCACCTTGAGGTCTCTGTGTACTATACATTTCTGATGACAATACTGCACTGCTGACACAATCTGGAGGGTGAAAGAGAGAGAGGCGTTCAGGGTGAAAGAGTTGCATAATTAAGTAAACGGCAGAATGCTTCATTAGGAATTAATCAGGAAGCATTTATGAGGAACCAGAATAGACTCGAGGTTTGCCACAGAAATGTCACTGAAAAAAAATAGCTTGAATTCATGCAACACCATTTCCTGGACAGTGTCTTGCAAAAGTATTTATACCTCTAGAACTAGGGTGATGCATCAAATTTATCAATTCATCCAATTTTTTTTTTTTTGGAGATTTAATTTTAGGAAAATCAGATTTTTCTTTTCCACTAATGAACTCCTTGTGTTTCCAGTGATGTCGGCACTTGTCTGACAAACTTTTTTTTTTTTTTGCTTGTAAATATTTAAATTTATGTCAACTCACAGAAAAAAATTACTGAGATAAAAAAAAGTTTTTGAAAATATTTTCTGTCACAGGGAGTTTCTTTTTAAGAAAAGAAAGCAAAAGAAAAAAATCCCAAAATAAAACAAATCAGGAAATCAAATTTGGTAAGAAAAAATGAAAACAATTAAAACATTTTTGGTAAAAATAATTAAAAAAAGGTTTATTTTGAAGCCATAAAACGGGAAACAAGAAAAAGGAGAGGAAAATCATGAGGTGGGACAGAAAATGAATTAGAAAAAGAAAAGAGAATGAGTCATCTTTTAAAAAGATGGGATACAGAAGTCTGGAAAAGCATATATTTTCTTTTCCTATATCCAGACTTGGAAAAACTTTTAATTAAAATCCCAAACTTTTCCAGATTTAGTAGGAACACTGATTTGTGACAGACAACAAAACGTAAAAAAACTGGGACATGAAATGTAGATGATAAAATAGTTTTACTTTTTTTTTTTTTTTTACAAACTAAACATCTAAAATATGTGATGTGAACTTGCACCCCTTTCCTTTTTAATTCTAAGCCCCTAAAAAAAATCCAAAATATCAAATTGCCATGAAAAGCTATTAATATGATGCTATTTATATGATGTTGATTAAATGTGAAAGGCTTTGAGAATGAATACTTCGCAAGGTACTGTAGTTTCCTTTCAATAAAAACTACGATAAAAAACGTTTCAGAAGTGAGAAACTTCACCTGTCTGAATTTGGCACGTGCTTCTTTTTCCTTCATCCTGCCGTGGGCCACCAGATAATCAAAGACCTCTCCTGAGAAAAAAGAAATGGCGAAAAGATTTAGTGCTGCAACCAAAACTGTAAAGTTGAAATGTCATGTTCTTTTCTTTTTTAGACTTATTTTTCAGTGGGTAAAAGACTAAACCCTTAATCCCAGCACTGATTCAGAGGAGGGAACAGCCCAAAACATTAATTACTTTCTGTTGGATATCTGGTTATGTAACACGCAGAGATCCAAGCTGCTGGGTTAATAATTTTACAGAGACATGTGCTTACCTCCGCTGGCGTACTCCATTACCAGGTACAAAGTCTTCTCTGTCTCTATCACCTCAAAAAGCTTGACTGGAGGCAGAAAAAAGAAAAAACAATTTTTAAAAAAAGGAGGAAGAGAGAGAAGATAAACAAAAAAGTAGAAGATGTAAACTCTCTCAAGTAGAAGTCATGACCTTGAAAGATCAATCAGGTGCGATTATTTCCCAGCGATTGACGACAGAACGGACATCGGTGACTCACCTATGTTGGGATGGTTCAGCATCTTCATGATTCTCACCTCCCGGAAGAGCTGCGACAAACACAAACAAACAAGTCGTCAATCGGCGCATCACACGACACAAAGCGACAGCACAGGACTGTTGGGTCCGCTTGTTTTCTACACATTGATTCATTTAAATCTATGAAAAAAAAAAATTTTAATTATCATCCAGGCACAAACCTTCAGGGCTCTCTGACTATTTTAACAGATTTTGAAAGTAAAAAAATGGATGGAGAGATAATTGGGCAGTGGATAAAGACAAAAACATATTTCTTTTTAATCCTAATCCAAATGTGGATGATTGGGATACAGAATCATCCACATTTTTCCAGGCTTTCCAGGATGTCTATAATGGAAATATTTGCAGGAGAGGAAAAGAAAGCAAACATCTAGTTCCTGTTTATAAACATGGGGTGGAATAAGAGACGTTCAAGATTCAAATTATACTGCTTGTATTATCTGCTATAAGCGAGTCAGTAAAACTCATTAATGTTTTACTTGAATTTATTAACTTACAATCAGAAAACAAAAATTTAAAATGTAGCTAAAATGACTATTTTTCTTAGGACAAACAACTGATATTTTCGGTAATCTGTGTGATCCATTCAGTTTCTGTGAACTAGTACAGAAAAATTAAAGACAAGCTTCAGAGGCTTTTATTAATAAAACAAAAATGTTAAGATTTACGTTATATCCAGAACATCTGCTGCTCATCCAGATGCAGGAGGTATCAGTCTCTTCAGGCCTTCTTGGCGTTTTGAGCTGATCACAAGTTGTTGGCTACCACTTATCCACCCAGTTTTTAAGAACTGACTAGTTCCCAATGTGGTAAAAGATCTGAGGCTTTCTCTGACCACGGGTCTAAAATTTAAATGTTATAATCCTTGAAGGTAACCAATGCTATATCAAGGCCATCTGCCCTCTTTTATTGTAATCAGTCTGCTAATTAGAGTGATAGGATAATATCTGGTGTGCTCTTTTATGATACAACTATACTGTAATTAAGCTGGGTGATAATTATGTACCAAGGCATGAATAAAAGTGAAATTGTGTGTTATATAAGACATCTTTTGAAGTCAATAATGGACTTCCCTTTGTTAATATACATGTAGTCATCACGCACACTAAAAAAAGTGAACAGAACATTCAATTTAAATATATTAATTTGTCGCAAGTAACTGAATTAAGGTTATACAAGTTTATTAAGTTGTTAATTTAAAAAAATAAATTAACTTGGATAAACTTAATTCAGTTACTTTTGACCAATTTCAGCAATTTAACTGGAACAACAGTCTCTTTGTTCAGTGCATAACACTCTAAAAACAAATGATCAACTCCAAAACAAAGTCTGTGAAACATTTTTTAAACGATGCCTTGAAAATATGTAAGGACTTCGTCGACATTTTAACTTTTTGGCACATTCCGCCAGAAGTTCACAATACACACCATGCTCGCAGTGAAACATGGTGGTGGCAGTATCATGATAAGGGGTTGCTTTTCTCTAAATGGAGATGAATGGACAACCTGTTACTTAAGACCTGGGCAGAGGCAATCTTTTATGCCTCCTGGGACAGGGAGTGTGCAATAATGGCTGAAAACAGATGTATAGATATACAGCCAAATATATTTGAAAAGCAGAAGTGGAGCCTCCTACACAATCAACAAAAATGCAGCAAGTTTCTGGATGGCAAGTCAACAACAAAACACTTGTATTTTCCAGCAGCCATTGTGCATACAACAGTAAACCCAGCTGACCAAAAGTGCTGGAGCTCTGCTTGGGTTGCTAGGTAACGGTGCAGTGCCCATGTATTGTGATTCATCAGGAGTTTTTTTTAAACGGCTCATTTTCCACACAACAAAAAACATTTTTTTTAATTGCTTAGGCTGTTCTTAGAAGCAATGGAGACCAAAATTAAAGTATAAAAGTGTTAAAAATGTGAATTTTGATCAATATATCATAGATAAGATATATTATAGATAAGATAACCCCTTTAAAATTCAAGGAGTGTGAATAGTTTTGAATGTTATTGTGTAGAGTGAGTGAGGTACACTGATCCAGCTCAAGAAACACATGAAAGAAACAGCTTAGATGACGTTCTGTTCAAATTAAGGGTGTTCACTAACTGAAGACATTCAAATATTGAAGTAAAAACATCTGTTTTAACAGATTATATGTATATTTATTTATTTTTATTTTTTTAATATTGAACTTTATGCCACAAACCACAAAAAAATCCACTATTGCCACTTTCATTTCTCCGATTAGGAGACGACGTTCGATCTAGTTCATCAACTGGAGGATTTAACTGCATCTGCAGGAGCCATGTGACTTACTGTAAATGATTTACTTCATCTCTGCCACTGTGCTGCCTCTACATTTTGTGCCTGGTGTCTGTATTTGGATACAAGTGTCTATTTTATGGCCTGCGTCGGTGGATGGAGACGTTAGAGGAGCGCATGATATGTGTGTGTGTGTCTGCGCGCGAGGCTGGGCCATGTCTGTTTAAGTGGACAGACCCCACCCTGCCACGATCAAAGGAAGTAATTGCAGCTTGTTTCCCGTAATTAAAACTCTCTCTGAAAACTGGACCACTTCAGACGAGTCGAGTAGAGAGGGAGAAAGGAGGACATGTGGGGCAGGAAGAGTGACTTCTGAGAAAAAAGGGAAAAGAGGGAGTGTGCTTTAAAGAATTTCCCTGTGTGTGTGTGTGTGTGTGTGTGTGTGTGTGTGTGTGTGTGTGTGTGTGTGTGTGTGTGTGTGTGTGTGTGTGTGTGTGTGTGTGTGTGTGTGTGTTGGGGAGTTTAGGAGACCCACCTTTTGCAAACTGGAGGAGTTGAGCTGCGTCTTATCTATGATCTTTACAGCCACCTGGAAGCAAAACAAAACGTGTGAGCTGATCATTGCGCCTTTCTTTTCATTTATTACGCTGTTGAATCTCACTTAGAAATCCCATTCTGTGACAGCAGAGCACACACAAATAGACTCACACTGTTATCTTTTCAGACACATATCACTGGAACGATAGTCCTGCAGCATGAGCGCACAACCACAGCACAACACGGTTGCATAATAAGACAAAACACACACACATTCGAGGGGATGAAGGATGGTTTTGGCTCTAACCAATAATCAGGTCTACGGTTTATAATCCACCAAAGGAGACAAAGATGAAAAAGGAATGAAACGGGAGGAAAAAACTAAACAAAATTGAGAAATGGGAGGGATTTCAAATGAGAGCTGAACAAGAACAAAAGAGCCGAGCACAAAGGCAGGGCAACAAAGAATCAGCTCTTCAAAAGGAAACAGAACAGGGAGGTCTCCTTCTGCCTGATATTTCTGTCAACTAACATCTTTCTTTCAGTCCTCTTTCTGGTTGTGCCTGTCTGACTCCCTTGTTTTCTTTGTGTGCCAGCAGGTCACGTGGAGCGTTATCAGGGTGTCAGGCACAAGGCTGTCACATATTGACAGAGCCCGCCCCCTGCACTCTTTCTCACATAGGAAAGAAAGAAAGAAAAAAAAAAAAAACAACAGCTGACTCAACTGGGCATTGGACCAGAGTCCAACACGGGCTCAGATTTTACCTCTTAAAGGGACAGACCGCCACCTTACATCACAGCTGTGGTTCAGAGAAAACCAGATACATTCGGGCTTTTCTGCTCAGCCTCACAGCGCTGATACAATCTGCAGAAGCTGATGCACAAAAAGCTGTGCAAAGCTTTAGATCAGATCAAACTTGCTCTGTACCAAGTCTGAGAGCCTGTCGGTATCCTTAGCAACCAGGAATCCAGTCCAACACTGAGGACTCAGCCAAACATCACCATCAACTCCTAATTTAACCATAGCATCAAATAAAACTTAGCCTTGTAGGATTTATTTTGTTTTACTTTAAAATGCTTGCTGAGATAAGACATCAAATTGTCATGTTTAGATTCATTAATGTCCTTCATATCACAAAAGGACATAAAGCAATTTGGTTTTAAAGTAGATGTCAAAAACAAAAGTTTGTTTTGGACCCATGTACAAATCTGGGTTGATATTAATATCTGATATTCCTACTGCTGTTGTGGTTCATAACCAATTTTTTTAGATTTTTCTGCATTTTCAACACTTTGACAAAATAGCAACTTTATGCCTTACATCTGCAGGACATTTCAATTGCTTCCTTTGACACGACTTTTTGTAGCGGCACTCTCATGTTTTATAAAACTCTGTAATCTGAAACTGAAAATGTTATTTCCTCTTTGACTCTAAAATAATGCAGACAAGTCATACCTAAAGTGGATTATTCATCAGTGATAATTAGATTTTTTCCTTAACAACACAGATTGTGGTTTAAAATCAATTCAAGCAAATATAATTAGAAAACCAGATGATCTGAATGAAGCGATTTGCAGGAGTGTGTTGATGCTCACCTCTTTTGAAGTGAGGACGTGTCGTGCCAGTTTGACTTTGGCGAAGTTGCCTTTGCCGATGGTTTTCAGTAACCGGTAGTTGCCGATGTGTGGCTGTTCGTCTGACGTGGCCGTGGACCCCGAGTTCGGACATCGCGACATGCTGTATCGACCAGTTGAAGACTTCTGCTCCTGCAGAAACAGATGAGAAAGAGTTAGGCGGTGTGACGGGATGTGAATAAACATGCAGAGAAAAACTTCAAAATTCATTCTCTTTCATCGCAGGGTTACTTACTTTAAGTAATCCTGAATATGAAAAACAAAAGTTCGGTAAATGATAATTGATTGGTCAATGGTGGATCTGCTTCTGATCCAGATGTTTTCCATTTTTTGTCCCAGACGCTAATATTGCTAACTTTGATTGAAGTTACAACCTTTTTTAAATGTGTAAAAGCAGAGATTTCAAATGCGTTTTTACCTGTTCATTAAACAACATCAACAACATAAGCCTCCTGGTTTAAACATGTTGTGTGAAACTGAACTACTTTGACATTTTTGCAAACTTTGTGGGGTTGAAAATAAGGACAAAAGGATGAATATGAAAATGTACCAATTTCTGACGAGGACAAGTGCTACTGATATTATGTCTGTATCTCATTAAAAAGTGTCAAGGAATCTACTATTTCTGGATAATTATGTTCATTTAGGGTATAATAAATGGAGGGAATAATGTCAACACTGTCACTTTTAAAAGTTCTTGAAGAGATTTTGCAGATTTAACATTTAGCAACAAATGTAATAGGATTTCAAAAGACCTCTCAAGAATAATATATAATTCAGTTTGAGACATCTGTGTGGCCATTATCATGGAGAGCTACAGCTAACATGGAGAAAGTTTTCTGAGCACAGAAAATGTGGGTTTCTATTTATTGACTTATTTTGCTTTTCCCTAGTTACATGTGATAAAGACTGCTCAAAACTTTCCACACTCAAAAAAACCTCAAATACGAGGACAGGTCTGAATCCAGACTGAAGTCATTTATTGGGTCATATCATTTACCTTGTATTGTTTTCATAATAAATTCAGTTTAATGTTTTGTTGGGTTTTTTTATGTGTCCATATTGTTGGGATTGCCATTTTCTTTGTTCAATGAGGGCACCAATTAATACCAGTAAATATGAAAATAGGATCTAGCAGTTTTAGTGATACCAATCACATTTCTTTATATATTTTTCAAGAGCGATATTGGTGTTTGGTGATGACTGCTGTTACCTAAAAATGAAGAGAAGTAGTTCTTATCGTCAGTTATGACAATGATACCACAATATATTATGATAAAACTAACTCCATATCGCCCACCCCATGTCTGAAGAATTGCAGCTTGATTACAAGTTTGAAGCTCCTCTAGTTCTAAGATGAAACTAAGATGAAATCTCAATATTACAAATATATTTTGCCATTTATTTTCCGAATAATGTGTCATGTCTGAACCATATTTTTGGCACAAAATTGCAGCTTGGTTCTCTAATCTTTAAAATGAAATCATGTCTCACATAAACGCTGCTGCTCAGCCCACATTTCTGGCCAGTTATGCCCAATTCAGGGATTGTTTACTGGTAAAATATTCAACTTTCACCTAAAATGAATTCAAAAGTAAAACGTTGTCGTTCTTATGAGCATGAATCATTTGAAATAGGGATGGGTGCTATGAACTTAAAGTTTTATCACAATATTTTGCGGTACAATTGCCATAATAAAAGTTGCTGTGCTGTGACTCACACTGTAACTGCAATTTAAAATGTATTTATACTTATTGATGCTTTTGTTCAACAAACAGCAGAGAAAATAAAACTATCAATCCTGACAATAAGGACATGGTAAGTGAAATTTATCACAAGTCAAAATTCTTATACATTTATCATGATAAATGATACGATAAATGCTCACCCCTAGTCTGAAAGCAATGAATCTGCATCCTCAGGAGCAGTTTGGTTCTTACAATATCAAAGGTCAAAATATTTTAAGACATTCTATAAAGACAAATATAAACTAAAATAACTTTAGCTGATCCTGCAGTAGACAGTAGGCCCTTCATCTCAAACCCACGCTGGAAAAAGAAAACAAAACCTTGCTGTGCTGGCAAGTTTTGCATGGCTGGCAACTGTGATTGGGTTTCAACTCCAGGAAAGGGTCACAGCAATTGTGCGCATGTGTGTGTGTGTGTGTGTGTGTGTGTGTGTGTGTGTGTGTGTGTGTGTGTGTGTGTGTGTGTGTGTGTGTGTGTGTGTGTGTGTCTACGTATTTCCATATGTGTGATCTGAGCGGACAGGTGAAGCGGATCAGGGTCAGAGGAGAGGACGACTGGCTCCAGGGTGACGAGACGCAAGCAAACACATGCACGCACGCACGCACGCACGCACACACACACACAAACACACACACAGGCTATGGAACAAACAGTGACAGCACACAGAAACTTGAATACACTGTTGTGCACACAAACGTCCAACAAGACCGTTGTGTGCAGCCGTACACATAGGCAGAAAGTGAACACACCTCTCTGAAGTTTGCCATCAACAACAAACATGGCGGCCAGTGACATCTACACAAGAAACTCAGCCGGTAATTCTTCAGTTCTGACGCAAACTTGACTGCAAATTAAAGAGACTCCACATTTTTATTCCCCTGCCGTCAAGTCATGGGAAACGAGAAGCTTCCTGATTACTCCACCGGCTTAGTGTGGGCTTTTTAGCTCCAGATGGTATAATCTAATGGCTGCATCTCTGCCTCCCCCCACAAACTTCCTCATGCTGACAGCGCAGACTTGAATAAAATGTAATAGGCCAGATTAAGCATTAACAAAAGCAGGGGAACAAGGATTTAAAAACAAATGACAGTTACTCTAAACCCAGAGGACAAGGCAAAAAGGCCCTTATGTTATCTTGTGGGAGGGATGAGGCCAATGATTTTTATTTTTGGACTATGTGGGTGAGACCAACTGTGCTATATAAGCGCCATTAAAGACAATAATATGCAAACGGAGCATTCGGAGTCAATTTGACGATCGACTGCTGCCTTCATGTTTCAGGACTCTAACTATTTGTGACCAACTCCTCCCCGCATTGATTTTACTCAAGTACTGCTGACTCAAACAGCATCAGCAGCTCATATTTTATTCTTGACAAAATATCTGTAGATAAAACATTTTAAAAACGATGAACGAGCCACAACGTTTGCTCTGCATTAATCCTCTGTTAAAGCCTGTCAATCCTTGACAGGAAAGCTAAATGGAAAAGCTGTCAATACTGCATGGTGTAGTGCAGCTAAAAGACTGACAACAGCCCAACAAGCTTCCACGCAAACTTTTAAAGTGCTCCCACGTGCCGTGAAAGTGCTGCAGCAGGCAGAGGAGGAGCTGGGAACTAACATGAAAGTAATGGAGAACCTTTATTTTTTAAAAAAAACGTCAAAAATCAGATTTTTTTTCCCAGTGCTTCCAGGCCATGCTGAAAACAACCTTCAGTGTGGAAGTTCGACGACCCAAAGCTATCCATTCTGAGCATTACTGCGGTGTATTAAAAAAATGCCCAGAGAGGATGTAATGCAGGTTAACTATCTGAGCAGATAGCCCAACTAACAAGTTAATTGCAGTTTATTGCAATCTACAAAGAGCAGAACTTTAAAAAGCTACTTTCAGCACTCTGAAAAACTAATCCCAAACTAAATTTAGCTGTGATTTGAATGTCTAATTATTTTTGCTAAAATGTGCTTTAAGATAAAAATAAGTCTAGTTAACGTTATAGCTGTAATAATGAATGTTGTACTTTTTATTTTTTTATTTTAGCAAATTCTTGTTTGTTTTGAATAAAAACAGGAACATGGAATATTTTTACACAATGTCATGACACTTGGAGAATCTCATCTGCTTTCACTAAATACTTTACTTATAAAAATTATAAACTTAAGAAAATGTCAAGATTGAAATTGTAGATTTTTGCTATTGCCACAACAGTGGAGGCACTCAATGTGAACCACCAAGTATAAAACTGCCTGTCAATAAAACATCATTCGATTTTCAAGACTACATCTCCCTCGTCTCTGATACATTTGCCTTTTCACTCGGCCTTTAAGAATGATCAACCCTGACAACTATAAAGCTTTTAGATTTCTGGCACGATTGGATAGAGTGTCTTGCAAACCAGATATGAGAGACTATAAACTGCTCTTTAGTCTTCCTGCTCTCCTATCCTCTTTCATGTCGGACTATTTTTGCCTTCTGATTCTTCCTTTATTTTTGGGCAGCTGCAGGCCGAGACAACCCTCCTTACTAACACACACACATACACACACACATACACACACACAGGAATACAAGCATATAGCCACCTCTCGCCACGGCTATAATTATAGATGTGTCAGAGGACAATAAGTGACATCATTGTTTAATTCTCATATTACTCAGAGATGTTAAGTTTAACTTAGGAGTACCAGCAGGGAACTACAACCCAGAAAAAAATGGAAAGACATTTTGTGGCATAGGTTTGATTTGATGTGTTAAAGACTTTCAGAATGACTTGTCTATCAATCGTCTCTCAATCAAAACTCAGGCTTAATGACAACTATTTCCCCTATTGTTATTTAAAACCTTACATTGTGAAAGTAAGAGGTAATATTTGCCTTGTTTAAATAAAGGTCACCAACATTACTGTCAACAAATCTAAAAGGAAGTGCTTTTATTTTGAAGAATCTGAAATGTCACAAGATTAGAGTCCTAAACTTTGAGCTGAAGTCTAGTCTCAGAAGCAGCTTCAGTCCAAATCTCTGCCCTTAGATGCCAGTTTATTACTGAAGTCAGCATACTAAATTCACCGTTTCATGGTCTGTTAACATTCACCATCTACACTCACCTGCCACTTTATTATGCAAATAACTGTTAACACAAATAGAAAACCAGCCAGATGCTGCAAGATGACTTTCTGGAGGGGATTTCAGTCATTTTCAGTCACTGTTAGACAAAATGGTCTGTGTATTTTACTTGGACTTTCCATGCATAACATTCTCTACCACCGCCATTTGATGAAACAAGGCTATGAGGAATACCATCTCTCAATGCACAACACATCAAACCTTTAAGCAGATGGACTATAGCAGCAAAAAAGTGGTTGCTGCACCTGTCAGCTGAGACCAAAAC